AGAAGACTCCATATTTAATTGCTGTAGAGACATTCTCTATTGTAGTTAAGATCTGGTGATACCCTCAGAGATCTTAATAAAAAATTGAGATCAAGTTTCACCCTTTGATCTATTCAAATAAAAGGTTTTATAGATCCAGTTGCACCACCCTTAGATCTGATCACACCCACCTTTTTCCAAAAAAACGTAAAACAAAAAAAAACACTGATAGTATTTCTTTGATTGGGGCATACAAACCCTAATCCATCCAATAACTAGGTTTTCAAATAAATACTTGATCGACATCCAGAATCATAAAAAAAAAACTCATTTGCATTAATACAGATACTGCTAAAAAAACGTTTTCGGCTTTTAGGGTATGATGACATCATATAACTGAAAGGATAGTATCATCCCTAAACACAGTTCCTGTGTACCCTTTGAAGATCAACCCCTTGCTACAATAACATACTACAGTACCGTGCTACAATACCATCCTTACTGATTGTCGAGCTCTGATACCAAGTTGAAATTAAAGTAGAGAATGAAACAATTTTGATAGAACCTAGAGAGAAAGAGATGAAAGAAAATAAAGATAATGATGTGGCCTGGGACAGCCGCGCAAACGAAATGCAGTGAGAGACGTGTGTGCTAAACAATGCCCCTCTGTCTTAGCCCTAACTGAGACCAAAATACAGGATACCACACTTCAGCTAATCCGTCAAGTTTGGGGCAGGAAACCCTGTCAATGGCTCTCTCTGCCCACGACAGTGTCTTCACGCGGTATCTTGGTGGTCTGGAATCCTACAGAGCACAATCTATTTTCCTCCCACATTGAGGCATAATCGGTGACGGCGCTACTTTCTAGACGGTCAGATGGGGTCCTATGGAAATTTTCTACAATCTACGATCCAAACTCAGCCCATCTTAGAACTCTTCTTTGGGCTGAACTGGACTACGTAGCATCGCTCCCTCACCCCTCGTGGTGCTTGGGCAGGGACTTCAACACAACTAGATGGTCATTCGAGAGGAACTCCAACTCCAACATTTCCCAAGGAATGCGGGACTTTTCGGACTTCATATCTCATAATGAGCTTATAGACATCCAGCTTCAAGGGAACCGATTTACCTAGTCAGACCACGACTCCCAACCTAAACTATCCAAATTGGATAGGTTTCTCATCTCCCCCTCCTGAGATGAGATACTCTCCAAGTCCCATCGTACCTGGGCATGCCCTTGGGACAGGGGAAGCCAAAGAAATCCCAGTGGTCTCATGTAATTGATAGAGTAAACTGAAGATTGGCAGGATGGAAAGGCAGATACCTATCCTTTACACGGAGAACAATGCTTATCAAAGCAACCCTAGCCAACTCCCCTGTATACCTCATGTCATTATTCCATATGCCAGCCTCGATTGCTAAACGCCAAGACCAACTGACAAGAAACTTCCTCTGGTCAGGTGAAGCAGTGACAAATAAGATCCACCTAATTGTGTGGGATAACGTCTATCTTCCAAAACACCAGGGCAGTCTAGGGATCAAAGTGCTTAGGACACATAACCTGGCGCTCTTGGGCAATGGTGGTGGGGACTGGCCACTCAGAACTGCCAACTGTGGGCTTAGGTTATCTGATGCAAGTATAGTATCCCACCAGACCTTTGGTTGCCTGAGGTTTAGCCAACGACTAAGGGCTCGAGCGTATGGAAATCGTTACTCTCCTCCCTCTGACCGTTTAAACAACTTATTCGGTTCCATACTAGAGGCGGGGATAGAGCGTGATTTTGGTTAGACCTCTGGTTAGGTCACACCTCGCTAAGAGAACGCTTCCCTTCCCTATTCGTTGCGACAGTTAACAAAGCCTCCCAGGTCTCAAAGGAAATGGTACCTTCAGGCAATCGTAGAGTTTGGAACCCATCCTTTAGAAGGCCTCTCATAAAAGAAGAAACCTTGGAGTTTATGTCCCTCTCGGAATCCCTCCACTCCACCTTTCTCGCCTTCTCGGGGAAAGACACCTTGGTCAAGACTCCCTCACCTAACGGTTCCTTCACGGTGGCCTCCTTCTACAAGAAATTGCTGCAGCCTTCTTTCCCCCTAAACCCGAACCCGGTGCTTTCCAAAGTTTGGCCATCCATAGCCCCTCCAAAAGTCCAAGCCTTTCACTGGAACGTGTTCCAAACGTGTACTTACTATAAACGTACTGCAGAAAAGAGGTGCCCAAACTCCCAATAGGTGCGTCATGTGCCTATGCAAGGAAGAAACAAACCCCTACTTGTTCATTCATTGCAAGTTTGCACTTCGACTTTGGAGTAGAATTATCCTAACTTTTTGGAATATCTTGGGTTACCCCCCTTCAATTCCGGTGCTAACTTCCTGCTCCTTCGAATCTAACTGGCTGAAGTCGGGCAGAATCCTCTGGAAAGCCTCTTTAACCACAATGTTGTGGACCATCTGGTTAGAAAGAAATTCGAGACTTTTCCATGATATCAAAAGCGAACTCCCAGCTCTATTCCACAAGGTTACTTCGATGGTAATCTTTTGGGCTTCCAACCACAATTTGTTCACTGGGATTTCGACGGCTAGTTTCCTTCGCAACTGAATGAACCTTATTCAACTAACCCCTCACCACAACCCAAGAGTATCGAACTGGACTCTCCCCCCTGGGTGGGTGATATTAAGTTAAATTTGATGGATGCTCCCTGGGAAATCCAAGCCCAACGGGCGCAAGAGGAGTCTTTCGTGACCATAACGATGGAGTCATCTCATCCTTCTCAGAACACCTTGGTCACAAAGACTCACAGTTCGCAAAGGCCATGGCCCTGTTGATGGGAACCAAGAAAGTTAACCCCTCTTGGAGCCCACGACTACACATAGAGGGAGATGCCAAAAACGTTATATCCCGTGCTGCTAGAAAGGCCCCTCCTCCTTGGTACCTAGCACACATTTTTTATAAAATTGCGTATACTTCCAGGGGTATAATCGTCTCATGGACGCATATTTGGAGGACGTCTAACAACTTCGCAGATCGCCTCGCCAAGGAAGCCGCTAGAAACCAGCCCCCTGCACACGTCTAAATGCGTTCAACAGGGAGTCCATTATCGTTAGCGCGACGGGGAGGCCCCCTCTTTCCAGATTGTAGTCTTCTATCTTGTAATGGGCATATTCTATAAGCCCCTATCTTTAATGTTAGAGCCAGCCTTTTAGAATAAGTCACTCCCTAGCAACCAATTTTTGTTTGAGAGACCCAATACGTTACCTCGACCCTTACTTTAGTAAAACTCTTATTATAATAATAATTACCCTTAACAGTTTCAAAAAAAGAAGGGAGAGAGAGAGAGAGACGTGTGAGACAGAGGCAGAGAGAGAGAGAGGGAAAGTGAGTGGCATAGGGGTCAGTTGTGACTTCTACCCATCTTATAACAATAACTAATAACCCTAATTACAACAATACTGCCCTTATTTAGATACATAAGACAAATAAAGACTAAACATAAGATAAATGACAGTTTTGTCCATCACGTACAATAAAGCTTATTTCTTTTATTTTCAATAATATTTTGTTTTGGAAAATATTCCTTTGATTGAAAAAATTGACCAAGACTTGCTGACTTTGAATTTCTATAATGTGTTTGTGAAAGAAAAGAAATTTTAGTAAAACTACAAGAAGAGATTTGACGGGTCCTATCCTAGATTGACCAGGAGAAAAGGTCCCCATATTTCTCCACAAATCATGAGGCTCTGATTTATCTCTCACCTCATATATAACTTGGAAATCATAAGGTCAAACTGAATCCAAATCCTAAGTGGAATACCTTAGGGCCATTAAGGCCTATATAAGGAGGGGTCCTCTTGTAATGCTCTTCACCCCTGTCCTCGGACCTCCCTCCCTCTCTCTCTCTCTCTCTCTCTCTCTCTCTCTCGTCGTCGTACGTCCGTACCGTACCGTAACCCGTAACCCGTAAACCCGTAAACCCGTAAACCGTAAACCCGTAAACCCGGTAACCCGGTAACCGGAA